CTATTCGTTTCACTTCTATGCAGATTGAGCTCCGCCCTCGCTGTGCCAAACATCAAAGCTGTGAGGTTCTGTAGTTGGGTATGTTCGCGGCCATCGTCGCGCTCCTTCTTGTTCCACCTGAAACACTCATCACGCATAACTTGCGCACTTTGTTCGACTCGGGCTTCATGCGTTGTGTGAGGTACCCAAACATTTGCAATGAACAAGCTTCGGACACATAATGCATAGAAGAATTTGAACACGCCCAAGCTGCAGATGTGCAACCAGTCTAAGCCGAGACATCGTTGAGGTGTTATGCCCAGCTGGGCGCTAAACAGAGGACACCGCCTCCTAGCGGTCGTCTCAAGAGACCTCCTCCAGAATGTGTCGTCGACTGGCCCGCTGATGTTGTCGATCCACGTTGTATCTGGGCGGTCTGGCGTCGTCTCTGACCTGTCGCCTTTATTGACTCCCGGCGCCGGCAAGTCTCGTCGGAGTGTCCGCCCGCGAGGGCCCCTGGAACTCCTTTCATCCTTGAGCGACCCACGAACCAACAACAGCTCTTCGTGAGATAAGTTGACTCTGATTTCGCAGTCGTCACACGCCTGAAGGTACTCGTCGAAAGTTCGTTCCAACCACCCAACTCCTACTGCAGACAAGCCGACTCCATCATCGAGACTGTCGTCGCCAGGCCACTGACAGAATGGGCAGCCATATAGGTAGGTAGCTGTCGATGGCAATCCCCTGGTGGTGCAATGCTCCATCAGGTCGCCCTTCAGAAACAGGATAGCACAAATGGCAGGGGCGGCTGATCCAGCAAAGGCCGCCCGGACGGAGTCACTGTCATCCAAGAATGCTGTCCGGTCGTGTCGCAGATCAGGCAGGCGCCCACGCGCCATCGCGTTGGCGCACCAGCGTAGCCATAGCTGCGGCACACACGCAGAACACCAGCCTCGACATCCACATTAGCAGATGTCCTGCTTCCGTAGGGCAGCCACCAAATGGCGAACTTAAGGCATAGACCGCGACGACCCCATCGTGGCGATGGATAGGTACACCATCGAGGTACAATGCCGCTAGATGCACAGGATCGGGGCCAGCATAGGAGACCACCACAGGGTGCGACCAGTGCGATGGAGGTAACACATTTTGATCAAACATCTCTCGAAGTTGCTGTTGAATTTCAGGTGAGCCTGATAGTTCATCCCACAACCGCTCGTGCACAGGTATCACTGGTTGCGGCTCCACAACTCGACTCGCGTCGGATCGTCTGTTCATCGGCAGCCATCGCTGATATACAGATCCATCTTCTGAGATGTTTTTGGGCAATACCTTGTCGATGTGTCTTTGGTAGTGCCCGCTTTGAGTGTCGGGGCGCAACGAGACATAATGACGCTGGTCCAATTCAATCACTCTGTGTGAGCCCAAAACGCAATGCCGCAGCACTTCTTGCAACCAATGTGCCCTTCGAGCTTGAGTTGGAGCAGCAAGTCAGCGAGATACTGGACAGCCTCTCTTTATGAGATAGCGCCCCAACCTATTTTATCGCCATCATCCTCAGCGTCGGAAGCACCATTGACCAGATCATCGAGCTTGTCCCACTGCGGGACGTCGTCGCCCCAACCAGGCATTGAGCCAGAGCCAAAACGGTTACGGGTATTGTGTTGGATGTTGATGTTATCGTTGGTGATGTTTTTGCTCCGCGTGGGCGCGAGTTTCTTCTTGGACGTAGCCTGTATTTCTAGGCTTCACCCCCCTGGCATGCAAGACGGTTGCGCGACGTTTTAGGCTTGGTTTCGATTTGGGGGGTTGGGCCAGAGGACGACGATGGTTGGGGGCGCCCCCGATGGGCGAGCTGCCCCAGAACGGCTGACCACGAACAGCCTCCAATGGTGAACGACCAGAAGTGGCAATCCCCGAAGAGTGATCAGAAATCGCGCCCCCCTAAGAGCGAACTCGCATCGCCAAACCTTTGTTTTCGTGCCCACTGGAGTTCCGCTGGCCCCTTCTATTCTCGCATGCCCCCTTGTGTTCTTGCACCCCGTTGCCTTCTAGCGCTCACTCTTCGACTTCTGCCATTGCCGCCGTGAGGCGAGGGGGCGGAAGAAAAGGTGCATCGGTGACACGTGCGCGTGATATCCGCAACATGTATCCAGATGCTCATGGTGCATCCACTGTTAGTTCGGTGAACGCAGGCATCTTGTTCTAGAATACGAGCGAGATAATAACGAGCACAACCCCTACTCGTTCAGAGTTCCCGTGAGTTTCATGAGTTTTCAGGAGTTTTCAAGTTTTCAGGAGTTTTCATTGTGATATTGTAAACGTATGGAAACTCTTCTTGTTTTTTAGCGGCTGTCACAGAGAGCTGAGTTTCCATTAATTTTCATGAGTTTCCAGAGCGTTGAATTTTCATGAGCTAGACATTTTCAAACGCGTCGTTTCCGAAAACCTCTGGCGGGAACAATCTGCAGCATCCGACGTTGCATTTACCCAATTCGCTTTGCAGCGACGTCGAGATCTCTGGCACTCTGGCGCTGCCCTCTCTGCCGAGGGTGATTATCAGCAGCGGTTGCGGGAACTGGCGTGCGTTCCCTGTTGGGGGTCCTCTCTCCCTCGCCCTCCCTCCTCTCCCTCCCTTCCCCCCCCTTCCTCCTACTCCTCCTCCCCTCGTCCTCCTTCCATTCATTTTCTGGGGTGTTGTGGCTGGCGCAACAGCCGTGAAAATCCCCCTCTGCCCTTCAACCCAGACAGCGCGCGGAGAAGCTTGGGCAGGGGTGTGGTGACACCGCGGGCCACTGAAGAATAGCTTGGACCGTCATGCATACTGCATCCCCCGATCAGTACAAGAAGCCCTCGATGTAGTTCTGGAATTGCCACTAGTCCGCGGTGCGCTTCATCTTCTGCCTGGCCTGGTGCATGTCCTTCAACCATGTGATCTGGTCGTTCAGCTCGTCGATGGCTGTCTGCATCACTGGCGGGCCCTCCTGCAAGCTCGACTCGACGGTCGGCTCGGAGTAGGTCGCTCTGACATTCTTGGACCAGTCATACTGCGCAGTCCACTCGCACCAGAACTTGTCCTTCGTCTGAAGCTTGCCGATGAGGAGCTGCGCGGTGGTCAGATCCTTCAGGTTGGCGTCGTTGCTCGCTCAGTTCCACTCCGTTTGCGTGGTGATGGCCTGAAGGAGATCCGACGCTGACGAGCTGACCTTCTCCATCTTCTCCTAGACCTTCATCGCATCCGCAATGGCCATCTCCAATGTCTTTGCTTTGCGGGAGGGCGCGTCGTCTTCGGGCCGTGGCTTGACGAGGCCCTTGGCTTCGGTCTTCGCCGCAGTGGCCTTCCCAACCTTCCCCCTCTTCTGCTCGGGCTCGCCGGCGGGGGCAGGCGCTGGAGGCGCCAGGATAGCTGGAGGCGTGTTCGGGCCTGCTGGTGCTGGGCCCGCAGATGACGAAGAGGCGGCCCCCGCGGCCCGGCCCCGAGACGGCGCCTCCGCGTGCACGCGGGGACCTTCATCTTGCAAACGAGTGGTCCTGGATCAGGACTCCTGGCTCGAATCATGAAAGTATTTCTGGATCCTCAAACTTGACGCGGTTGTAAAGCTTCTTGTAGATAGTCCGTGGCCGTCCTTTGTGGGTTCTGCCCTGGGCAACATGGGACGCAACAGTCTGCGCGTAGTTCTGCGCCGCAACAAATGCCATCGCATCGTTGCCCTCTTTCTTGACGTGCATCGGGAGCGGCATGCACTCACCCCTCATGTCGTCGACCTGTCTGTACTCGGAGGTCTTCATGCGTTCCTCCTTCATCTCCACAGATCGCTGGCCAGCCCAATCATTTTGAAGTTTTGCTGCGCCTCGTAACCCTTGCCGGCGAGCTTGCATTCTTGCTTGAGGTTCGCATTCGCCGCCAGCTCCTTCGCCCACCAACGGGTTGAATTTGCTGTTCTCTTCCCTCGGCATCTTCTTGCCTCGTGCGCTTTGACCAGCGCTTCCTCGATGGGCGTCGGCGGTGCTGACTTGTCCTCCTTCCTGCACCCCTCCTCAGGAATCATGTTCGCGGCGTCCATCTTCGCGGCTCTGAGCAGTGCTTCTGCTGCCGCTGTCGCACCTTGAACCGAGTCCGTCACTTGAATGCCCATCAATTGGTTCGCCCACGACGGCCGACCGGCGTCCATCTTTGGAAACAAACCGACTTGAAGCCAGACGTGGTCGCATATTGAGCCAAAGCGGCTTCGGCCGAGGGCGAGATGAGGCTGGCGACTGTGGAGACGCGCTGTTATCATAGACCGTTGCACAGTAGTTAGCTGCGACGTACTCTTCCACCCCTTCCTCTGAGTTCCCTCCACCTCATCATCCTCCTCCCGCCGTCCCCCCCCCCTCCTCCTCTTCCTTCCCCTCCTCCTCCTCCTCCTCCTTCTCCTGCCATTCATTTTCTGGGGTTTGGCGGCTGATGCAACGGCCCAGAAAATCACCCCTCACCCCTGCCCCTTGTGATTCTCCTCTGGAGCACGGCTGGTGGACTCCACTCTCATCCATGGCGGGGAGGGTTCAGGAGGGGTGTCATTGAGATCGCCCCAAAGCTTTCGGGACCATTGGAATTCTTGCGAAGCTCTTCGAGGCCTCTGCAATCCTCGAGGGCCCCCCATGAACATCGAAATCACGCGCAAAACTATAGCATGAGGGCCGTGGCGAGGACCCAGGAAGCTTGAACCCTAGAGCAGACGAGGAAGGCCAGCAGGAGTGAGGATGGGGAAGGATGATGATGATGATGATGATGATGATGATGATGATGATGATGATGATGATGATGATGATGATGATGATGATGATGATGAGGAGGAGGAGGAGGAGGAGGAGGAGGAGGAGGAGGAGGAGGGATGAGAACACTGGGCGCACGGAGGGCGAGACGGCGAGAAGGAGGTTGACTTTAAATGCTTCCTGGGCGCGTAGCTGGCTGAGCCACCAGCAGCATCGGCGCTCGCGCCGATCCGAGCTACTACGAGAGGCTACGTTCGCTCGAGGCCTCAAGCTGAATCATCGTAGCACGCCTGGCACAAGTTGTACTTCTTGAACATGTCCATGCGCATGGGCTCCGCGCCGCAGAACTCGCACACGCGCGAGATCGCCGCCCTCTTGGTCTGGGACTTGTTGTCCGAGGCGCTCCTGGGCAAAAACCAGGATCTGCTTCTCGTCTGGCGTCGGAGTGGCGGGCTCGGTTGGCATGACCGCTTTGGACTGCTTAGGCTGCGCGGCCTCCGCCTGAGAGGGTGGAGCGGCCTTCGCACTCCGCTAGTCCTTCTCGCGCTTGGCTTTCTTCGGTGCCAGCTGCGTGACGTCGGGCAGGCACGACGGCCTCTTTCAGACCTTCGTGGGCGTTGGCAGCGCCTTGTCCCTGAGCTCCATGAGCGCCTCCTTGGTGAGGCCCTGCGTGGACGCCAGCTTCTGAGCGGGCTTCACTGCGAGCTTCTCGGCTTCCTTGACCTGCTCCTCTTCATCCTCGAACGCCGTCGCCTTGACCTGGCACATCTGGCTCTGAGCATCGTCGACCTTGGAGTGGATGCAGAACACGTTGTTCTTCCTGGTAGGCCTGCTCACCCAGATGCGCGAGCTCGCCGTCGGGCGAGTTTCCCAGACTGACGCACCCTTGGCGGCGATCTTCTCGGCGGTCTCGATCGCGTCGAACTCGGCGTAAGTCAAGCTCGACATGGGAATTCGGAAACCATCGGGCCACCTTGCCAAGGTTGAGCTTTCTGGCGTGGCCCCCTTGGGCTTCCATATTTCCTTCGTGTACTCCTTGTGCTTCTGACCTGGCATGCACCTCCACGCCTTCATGTGCTCGCGGAAGTAGCCCAAGACTTACGTGCCCTCATGCTTGACTGGACGCAATGCTGACGATCGGAAGCCGAATCTGACGTGCCGGCGCCCTTCTTGGGCCCAAATCGCACGCAAGCGACGCCGTCGGGTTTCGGACGCGGGTGGCGGTGAGCGGGGGAGGCAGGGTTTCAGCACCCACCATGTTCACCACCACTCTCGCTCGAACCCCCACTCAACCGCTCCACTGTTTGAGTACGTTTTGGGCCCCCACCTCGGGCGCGGCAACGGCGCCGTCGATGCCCTGCTGCTCCTCCGAGTCGGGCTCCTTGACGGCGGCCTCGTTGGTGGAGAGCTGCGAAGGCGGTAGGTCGTCCTCGTCTGTCTCCCCTGCCTCGTCCTCCACCTCATCTTCGTCCTCGCCCTCGACGGGTTCATCCTCGCCATCCTCGGCTTGCGCATCTCCGTCGCCGTCCGTAGTCTGCGCCGCGACGCCCTTCTCGAAAGTGGCGTTGAGACCGAGCTTGCGAATCAATTTAAGGGTAGCTCTTTAGGAGATGTTATATGTAATCGGGAGTGTAGCCTGCGCGTCGCTGCCTTATGGTTCAAGGCGCGCGCGCCCTATTTGCCCGGATACCTGACCTGGTATTCGCTATGTGCTGGAAAAACCGATACATCGATCTTCTCCTATCTTACCCATCCACACCCCATATCGTATTCGTTCGACATGGAATTGGATGCAACATGACCTACCAGAGTCGTTTCAGATTTGGTAGCGGAGCTGGCCGCACTCTCGTGTGGTCAGCTCTTGCTCTTCTTATTCTCACACTACCGGGCACGATCCTCGTGACCACCCTCTACCCTGCGCCACCACTCCACCAACATCTACGAGGATCAACTCAAGAGCAAGAAGCAACACGAGTGGTACGACGTCTAGACAACAACATCGGTACCATATACGCTTCATCACAACGCTACCACTAACCGCTCGGCAACGAACCGAAAGCGCAGTACCTGAAGCGTAGGCGGGGAGTTCCGCAAGACAAAGCGCCTGGCAGACTTAACAAGGCGCAACTATACCCGCCCCAGCGCGGCAACGCGCCTGATAACCACCCATACCTCCACAGCCTGGGTTTGGTTATCTTCGCCATTATTTGGTTTGCGCTGGGAGCGGCAATCGGGCGCATGCGCCGAGGAGACAATAGTACCGATGGGCAAACACATGGCCCATACTGGGACCCTCAAGGCAACGTACCTTTTCGCGAGTACGTCTACGAGGCCAACGCGTGGCTTAACGTCGCGAGCGGGCGCATGACGCCACAAGCCCAAGCAGCCGCCATACAACGCGGCCTTGGCGGCCTTGCGAGGACACTCGCCATGGGGGTACCACCTGACATCATAAACTACGATGCGGACATCGACGGTGTCCACGCCGACCCAGTAACATACATCATGTTCTTCCGAATCATGAAGTTCGAACGCCTGGAGGATGAGCGCCAGCTCACCTCGGGCACTCAGCTCATCGACTTCCACGTGCCTCACGGAGAACGGATCGACGTAACCCTTCATCGTTTCGAAATGGCACGTCTTGAGGTGCACTCGGCGGGCTTTGACCTTCCCAACTTCCAACTACTTACGACTATCCTATTCCGCGCCTTAGGCGTCGGCAACCAGCGAGCCACGCAATTCTTACAACCACTCAACCACCAAACGCCCCCCAACACAACAACAGTATGAAGAACTGTGTGGGAGGATGCGCTCGGTGGGCCACGTGTCAGAACGGCATCCTGGCAACGTAGGATCAGCGTTTAGAAGGGGAAGGGGAAATGGCAGTGGAAACTTCTATACTACCTTAACATCTTTAGCTCAGCCTGGCAACGGGCCCGCAAACATGTGGGCCGGCGATCCTGGTGAATCTACTGCTCTACTAGCAAGGGGTAGATCGCAACCTAGCTGGGCAACCAGCCCTCCTCCTAGAGAACCTCAGCCTCACCGCTCTCTATGGGGAGAAGCGAACCCCCTAAGCGACGGAGCATCCACCTACCTAGGAAACGGTGACTTCGACTCCGGCATTGACACCGACACACTATCGCCAAACGGCGTCGAACCGCTAGACTGGCCTGGCATCGCACGCATGGAAGTTGATAACTAGCGCGCCGAGCACTTGTTTTGGTTATTACAACAGGCAAAGCGTAGGTGGGGGAGGTTTACACGAACACCAGTGCGTCGTGTTAGGAGGAGGATCATGAGGAGCTTCAGCGGAAAAAGGCAAAGGCAAACGGGGTCGCCGAAGGTTGAACGGACGAGGCATCACAGCTTTCCTCCAGAGGCTCTCAGATGATCAGTATGATGATATATTTTCTGGGGGAAAGGTCGTGGAAAAGGCCGTGGGGATACCTCAGGCAAAGGCAAAGGTAGGCGGGGCAAGCCGCGAGGTAGAGACGGCCAGGTCTTGAAGTGCCATGAATGTGATAGCACCGATCACCTCGTGAAGGATTGTCCAGTGAAAGGGAATGGCATGGGTAGATCGTCCGAAGTCCATGTGGGCTCAAGTGAACCTGCTATTGAGTATCTTAAGCCTCCAAGAGTTCGAGGCTGTGGAACAGATATTCTTCACTTGGGTCAGCAACGTGGACATGCTGTACGAGATCGAGGCGCGCGGCCTCGGGCTCTACGCGTACTACCTCGAGTACCTCCGCAGTTTCAACGTCGGTGCCATCGGGTTCGCGCCTGTGGAGAACGGAATGCCGGGAAACCATCCCCTTTCCTTCTATGACTGGATGCTCGGCAACCCAGGCAACATCATGGCCATCGAGAGCAGCGACGAAGACCAGATGGAGGCCGACACGGTCGAGGCCACTCCCTCGGAGATCGATCGTAACCTTTGGCATCGGCCAGACCTCTTCCCAGGAAGCAGGCCTATTCCAGTGTATCCGCCAAACTATTATGAGTTAATAGAACTGGAGTCTCAGGCTTTCGCCGTGGGGGTGCCAGGCAATCCCCGCGAGCCACCTGGTATGCTCGCGCCGGGTGTGTACGGACCATGCACGGTGCTGCAGACCCTCATGCAGATGCATGCTGCTCAAGCTGAAGAGTATCCAGAAAGTCAGCAAAGTGTTGAGAGCGGCCACGTGATGTTGCAGGACTCCGACGTCTGTGATGACTCGGACTTGCTGACGGCTGCTTTCTCTCTCATCGACAGTGTGCTCCCCGAAGATGTGCAGCGGCACCTGTGGTATGCAAAGGGGCGCTGGCGCCAAGCCCTTCAGAGGGCCATCACGAGGCGTGAACAGGCGCTTCCTCCGCCAGGACGGGGTCTCCAGGCGGCGGGGCAACGCCCCAGCCGTGCGGGCGTGCGCAACATCATCGGGCAGCCCTCTTACGACTATGCTCAGTTTGAGGCGCGCGCCGTGCTCGGCAACGAGCCTGGCCCGACCGCCATGCCACCGGCGCCGGGACAGCCCAGCGATGCCCAGATGCCGCCACAGCAGGGGAACCTGCCTGTCCCGAATGGGCCGATGATTGTTATCATTGGCAATCCTACTTCAGAAGCCGAAGATGAGGGCGGCTGTGGATTGTGCGAAGACGAGACCACCATCCTCATGATGAGCGTCAACGGCGAAGACGAGGAGGTGGACTTCGACGGAAGCGAGACCGACGCAGAACCGCCCGCACAAGACCTCATCATGTCCGACCCTCGCCAGCAGGGAGACCTGCCTGCTCAGGATGTGCCGCCCACGCCTGCCCAGGATGCAACGCCAGTTCCTGCCCAGGCCATGTCAGCAGCATCGTCCGACGACCGGGCCAGGAGGTCTCGCTCGCATACACGTCCTAGAGACGACCCACGCCCCCAAGGACGGCTCCCGCGTGAATGGCGGCAGGCAGCTCCATCAGAGCATGCTGCCCGACGCGGGGGTCAGCTGCTAGCCTACAGCGATCCCAGGCGCAGAACGGGCGAACATTCTGCCTTCGGACAGGGCAACCCTATCTACAGGGACGCCCAGTGCAAGTCCATACGGGGTGGTTATCAGATCGCTACGAACATTCGACGTCCTGATAAAGAGGCAGCGCGGAGACAGCTGAGAGCCATCATCGAGGAGCGCCGCCGCTACAGGCCGAACGCTGCCTGCGGCCCGTGCTCACAGGAGTTCCAGGAACGCCGACCTGGCTGTCCTGTCGGCCTCCGCGACGTCCTAAGCCCTAACAGGGGCCGCACTCCTGCAAAGGAGGGTCATCCACCTCCTTGTACCCATGACCCAAGAGGAGATCAATGCGGTCAACAGCCGTCTCGAGGCCATGCGCCTCAACGATCCTCCTGCCCAGGGGGCGCGCTCTCCGCGGGGAAACCATCCTGGTGCCTCCAGTCAGGCTCGCACGTACGAGATGACGAGCGACGACGAACAGGAGGTCCAACGAGTCGCAGCAGAGGCAGAACGCAAGCGGTTGGCAGAAGAGCGCAGCCGCGAGGCAATTCGCCGAATGCTGCTGGAGTCGCAAGCCGAAGCAAAGAAGCCACCGACGATTCCGAAAGCTTCGGAAAGCGAGACTCGTGAATACAGGGCGCCTTCAGGCGAGAGACAGAAGAACCCTTCTACTCGCTCCGAGGAACTCAGGTTCAATGTGCAGATGGGAAGGCCCCTCGCCGAGGTGCCGAAGTCAACAGCTCGAGAAAGCCCTGCACAAAGAACTGACCCCCGGCAACAGCCTCAGGACTCCCTTGAGATCCACAGGCGCCAGCCAAGCCTGAGTGGCTCCATCGCCAGCAAGGCCAAGGCGTTTGAGCGTACAGGGTATCCCCCTACGCCTGCATCGCCAGTGGCGACGCGCTCCAAGGAGTCCGAGGAGGGCGCTGTGCCTCGGGGCAACGGGGTGCCTACGATCAGGAGCAGCGCCAGCCGAGAGATGTCGCGAAGAAACCCGCCAGGCGCTGCACCCGCGGCCTCTTCATCCTCAGGAGCCGTAGCCTCGTCAGCAGCAGAGGCTCCATTTCGGGGACGCCCGCCCGAAGATGAGCTGCGCCACCCAGGCGACACTTCATTCACGAGTGGAAGCCAGGAGTTGATTAACGATCGACGTGCTCCACGGAAGCTTCCACCTATACGTTCGGTTGACGAGGCGATCATGGCGAGCTGCCGAAACGGGGAAGATCATTCCCAGCACTAACTACAAGCTCAAGCAGCTCAGCAAGGGCCTCAGTAAGATCTGCAGGTACACGCCCGACGAATCGCACAGCCCCGTGTGGAAGCTGAGGACGTTCGACGACCGCGATGGCTGGATCAACCTCCGCGAGCTCGTGCACGAGTTTCCCTGGGGCGATGGCATTCGGCACGATGGATACTA